TGTCAGTGGGCTTCTAGACTTGGCTATGCTCCTTCAGCCATCACTCACTCTCTTAGACCCAGACCTGATAGAATTGATGGATTATGGACATATTTTCTGTCCAGACAGCACTAAAAAGAGGAGACAGTTCTTCCATTCTTTAAATTTCAGTTTCAATACTGGTGCCAAGAATAGATGCCTGACAAGTCTTCATGGTTGATGGCAACCAATCACACTTGATTATTCTTCAAAAGTCCAATCAGTTCTTTCCCTGGTTAAGGCAGTACAGAATGGAGATCACATTTCTCCTTCTGAAAAAAATATGACTTTTTGCTGATCAGATACTCCAAATAACAGTCCTTGAACCTCAAGACTCAGAAGCTGATAAAGTGGTTCTCATGGAATCCTCAACTCCAGTGGTACAATCACTCCTATCAGAATTACTCCAGATGTCCTGGACACTCTGACATCTATGGCTTCAATGTCAAAGAAAGTACAGGATACATGATAAAAATGCAGCTTTTCTGTTCCCCTATCTTCCCCTAACTTTGTGATTGTTGAGTACTCATAGGGTCAGTTTCATCAGACCCATTCAGCTTGATAGATACAGAAGGTGGCATGAGTTGATAGGGTGGCATATTTACTCATTGCTAGTACTTGGCTTCAGAGATTTAAAATACCAAGTGACAGTGTCAAGCTAGCAGTTTTTCTTTTGGGAAAAGATAGATTCCTTATGGATGGCTACTGAGAACTAGCAAGAGTTTTCCAGTCTCCAGTGCTTCATCTTTTAAAGCAGCAAATTCACACCTTAAGACTTCATGTGTTTTGTTATAGCAAGGCGGCAATGGGAGCCACAGTGCTGTGAGGCTATACCTGACTCATTTCTGCTGGATTATCTCAGGAGGCCCACTCCGAGGTAGAGAACTTACCTTTTGATGGTGATGGCCTGTTCAAAAACAAATGAGGCTATGGACACTGTTCAGAAGGTGAAGAGCACTGCTAGGAAAATGAGTTTAAATCAGCCAATTGTGATTTCATATCAGTAGTGTCATTGGGTTCACTGTCCATTGCTTGTCCAACCACAACAGCAAGAGGACTGGCCAATTTAGTCCCAATCTCCCTCTGCTTCAAAGCAACAATACCTCCCTTCTAGTTATCATCAAGAATGCCGGAAATGGGACCCTTTCAACAAGGTGTGTCTTTGATTTCTTCCCCTTCTACTTCTTCATTCTGCATGTCATTCTATATGCATCTCTCTTCTCTTTGTGAGCCCCCTTTCCCCTATCCCTTTATATCTTCCTGCCAAAAAACAACCACCAGGGAGGGAGGGAGGGAGGGAGGGAGGGAGAAATAGAAATCTTCTTTGTTCATCTCTCTATTGGAACTACCTTCCACTTTTTCCCCTCTATCTTCTCTTTGGTTTTCTCTCTCTCCCTTCCTTGTTTCTCAATAATATCTGTGTGAGGTGCAGCATTAAGCTGCTTCCAGTGGATAGGCACTCTCTTTGCTTGCTGCTACCCCCACTGCTAGGCCTTTACTAAGCAGTCCTGCAAGCAGCAAGCAGATTGCTTGTGCTCTGAGCTCTGGATCAAGACTTTCAACAAAGCTTACTCCCTAAGTTCCTTTGCCCATCCACTGCTGCTCTGTGACCTCACAAAGGCCATCACCACTGTTCCATCTGTGGCTCCATCACCTGCTCTGACTCTAGGCAGGTCTTTTAAGCTCAAAAAGGTGAAAATGTTGGCCAAACAAGCCAAAGAGGTGAAAATGGCCAATCTTTCAGCTGCCAAAACCAAGTTGGCGATCTTGGAATCTGGGTGTGTTCCATAGTTCAGTGAGGCAATAGGATTGTTCAACAACACTGTCACCTATTCTGTAAAAGGAAATTGACTCCTTCTTATGGGACTTTTTGTAATGACCCCACTCGTCATTTCAACAGTAAGATTAGAACAACTTCTAATCTTACTATTTTGCAATGCTGAAAAAATGGAGAATTTTAGCTGATCTGGGACTTATGGGACATAAAAGCATTTATTACAAACTCTAGCATAACACGTGCGATCTGAAATGCATTATTATAAGAGTTCCAAATAAATAAATTTATATCCTGCTGTTTTCCTCTTGTGCTGAACCTGGTGTGCATTTCAGAGTCCCCCCTCCTTTCCATGTTACACTCACAACAATGACTCTGTGGAAGTAGATTAGAGTGAGAGTATGTGATTGGCCACGAGTCAATAGTGAGTGCTATCTCAGGTCCCTAATCCAGCACTCTAACCACCACACCACATTGGCTCATAGAATCATAGAGTAATAGAGTTGGAAGGGGCCATGAAGTCCATCAGGTCCAACTCTCTGGTATTGCAGGACACCAATCATGTACTTGCCTTTACTATTCAGTACCACTTGGGACTGATGCCAGAGACCAGCTGGTTCTCTTCGCATGTTTCAGAATGAGAACATTCCAGCATTGGTTTCTCAGAGCTATTCATCCCTATGCCAACCTTCATCAGAACTTGCCCATCTTGGCTGGAGTGCTTTCATCCCTTTATGGGTAGAGAAGTTGGTCCAGTGACTTGAGAGGAATCCCATTTCTGCTCAAACTTTGTCCCACTCAGACAATTATGAGAGAAGCTTCTATTTGCAGATGGATCATACTGCAGAATTATGACTGTTCAGGGACTTTGGTCCAATGGCAAGAAGCAGCGTCACATCAAATTGCTGGCAATTCAGAAAGCCTTGTATTCCTTTGACTTGGAACTTTTGCACTATCAGGTCCAAATTATCATGAACAACATGGCACTAGGATGGTACAGAAACAAGCAGGGACACAACTAATAAACTTGACATCTGAAACTGGCTAATCCATAATAATGCAAGACTTTCAGTCATCCATATTGTTGGTACCAATAGAGTCCTAGAACATGTTTTCAGCCATTCCTACCAGTTGTCTGACAAGTGAGAGGAGGATGTGCATGTCAAAGCATTTCTTTTCTGGTAAGAGTAAGCCCATTCAGGGACCTTTTCACCACTCTGGAGAATACTGTATGTCATCTATTCTGCATTACCACATGAATCAGGGCATTGTTTACCTGTAACTGTAATTCTCTGAATGGTCATACAGGCAGCCCACTCACCTTCCCTGCATGGTATTAATATCAGATCTGATGTTATGTCTTTGAGCACTTGTGCTGTTGATGGCAATGCCAATCTTTGGACCAAGATTCTTTTCCAAGGAACTGAGGAAATGATCTGAACCCATTATGGATGTTACCAAGAACGCTCTCTTTCACCCCACTTAGGCTAACCCAAGGAAGACCACTTAGCCAGAGAGCCACAGCCATGTTGTTTTTCCTGTCCAGGAGGGAGGAGGGGGGAATGGAGAATAGTGAACCCTGTGTGAACTCCTGGGAAAGGCCAACTGGGTGTCAAAAAGGGCAAATGGGAAGAATCCTTGGCGCCTGGGACTGGTTGGAATCTCAATAAAATGCATTATAAATTACTAGTAGGTAAGGTAAGAAGCAAAAGCAGGTGTGAATAGTTTGGAGATAATCAACAGACACATGAAAAGGGGGATTTTTTGGAAAAATAAAGAGTTTTCTGTAAACTAACAAACAGAACACGGGGAAATTAATTTACTTTGTATCCGGACAACATGTTTATGACATAGGGTATATAATGTATGTTCTCTGTACCTCTTTTGAGATCCTGATTTGGGAAGCATCTCCCCTTTCTCTCCATTTATTCTAATAGTGCACTAAAATAAAACTGCTTTTAGCTTCAAGTCTCGTCTCAGGCTCTGTTTGGCTTGCGGTCTGAGGTCCACCTGGGTTTGCCCTAGCTGTTGACTGACTGAGTTTGTAACATGGATATGCATACTACATTGGAGGGGGGAGTCCTGCCCCAAATTTCCTCAGCTACAGAAGCTTCCTGAATTGAGTCTCCATGCAAACACAGAGCCCATAGGTGTGACTGTACAGATTGATCCCTCTGATCTCTTAACTATATGATGGATGGAAGTGGTTTACTCTGGTTGAGGAGTGTTAACAGTATTAGGAGGGAGGGGCACATTAAAGACACCTTGTTCCCTTACTTTCACTGTAAGACATGTGAGGAAGCTAGTTCACTCACTGGGCCTTTTTATTGCCCTTCTTTCATGGCTGTGCTGCCCGAAGCACCAAAGCCCTCACCTGCCCTGGCCCTTCCTCCTTCCCGTATCTATGGCAAAGAGCAGCATCACCCCTGGAGCAATGGGGAGCTGTGTGTCTTGGTCACAGGGTTTCCCCTTGCTACTCCCATCTGGCTGTCTGCAAGCTGTGGCAGAGCCAGCCTGTTACGATCTACTTGTGTGTCTCTTCCTTGGTCCCTCTCCTCCATCTCTGTCTGTTTGTCTGTCTCTCCTCACTTCCTTCTTCTGCTTCCCCTTTATATCTTCCTTCTGCACACCACTCCACCCAACCCAGCTCTTCCATCACTGGCCAACATTTCTGCATAGCTGTGCGCTCGCCCATGTGTTCTAGCCAGTGGAGTCCCATGCGTCATTTTGCCCAAGCAGATTCCCAGCCATGCCCCATTGTCTTTGGCCCTGCTCCATTGAATGCCCCAGGAAAATGGGTGAGCCCCTCTACTTCCTCACAAGGAGGGACTGTGAAATCTTGGGATCTACTTAATATCTCTTAGCTGAGTTTACAAGATAAGCTCTTTTATGCATGTGCCAAGACAAATCCAGAACCTAACCATTGCACTTTTCTTTCTCTGTTAAAACCCTTGTTTCTGCACAAAGTAATAAAAAAGCACAATAGTTTAATTTGCATAAAATACATGTTAAGTATTTCTCACTTACTAAGATGTGTGATAGCCATTTTGTTTTTGTTTTGTTATGTGTTTTTCTTAACAAATGCTGTGTCCCTGAAGTGATTTTAAGTGTCCAATTAAACTTGCAGTTTCAAGAAATTTCTAGGGTAAAAAAGTATAAAGACTGTAAAATGAATTTTTAATATGTTACTGTTGCTTATATCTTGCAGTGCTGGAATAGGCCGGACTGGAGTATTGGTTGCTATGGAAACAGCTATGTGCTTAATTGAAAGAAACCAACCTATTTACCTACTGGATATTGTAAGAAAAATGCGAGACCATCGGGCTATGATGGTACAAACATCAGTAAGTGAGGGACAAAAGTCTGTTTTTTGATCCATGCTTACTCTGTCTGACTTTCCATATATGCTGTGTTTATCATGCCCCAATTGCAGAATAATGAAATGTTTTGTTAAAAACTGGTTTGTTTGTAAGACTGTATTTTTAACATTGTAATTTGTTTATTGGAGCTCATAGTTTTTTAAGAGTGTCCCATATGAGTTTAGCACTTTTATAGCGCTCATTTTAAAATTATTTTCTTAACTTTGCTTAGTTTAATAGTACTTACCATTACTTTCCTGGTATGGAAGTGAAATTGTAGCAATCTTTGAGTTGAATTCCTATATCTACAATTTCCCCCCAATTTAATTGTATTTCAATTTAAAGGTTGATGAGTGTGAACACATTAAAATATGTATAATAAAGAAACATGTCTGAATTATGAACAATTATCAGGCTATTTCTGAGTGATCATAGCAATGACTGCATCTAACAAGGCAAAGCAAACAGGTCATCAAACAAATTAAGAGAGGATTCTTGGAATCTCTATTCATTCACATATTTTGACATGCTTAAAATGATTGGTATTAAATGTTGCAGCAAACAAAGGCCTTTCCACAATTCTTCAGAGCATTTTCCAATGCATTCTACAAAATATTATGAGAAAGTACCTGTCCTTCACAGTCTAGTCAGTTTAGTTATTCAGAATGGAACAAAGAAAGAAAGAGAACTTGGAAAAGTGAACTTACTGTATCTATAATCCTATCATCTGATTTGACCCTAGATGTTCTGTAATTAAGCCTGTCACCTGTTTATTTTAAAATTAGGTTAGTATTTGCTGCTACTATTCCACCAACACCACCATCATCCTCCTCATCATGGCAGCTTCTGCCTGTACCACAGTACCAAGCATCTCTAGGTATAGCTGTAGTAATTGCTTTTGGTAGCTTTTTTAATCCCAACATTTGATTGTTTTCAGTGGCAGACTAATAAAATAGATGTGTGTGTGTGTGTGTGTGTGTGTCAGCAAAGGTGTTCTATTCCCTACCAGAAGTTTGCAATGACCTAATAAGAAATGGAATTATTATCACATTACATTTATAGTCTGCTGTTTTATCTCTTGTGAGGAACCCAAGGCAGTTTACATAGCTCCATTTTATTCTCACAACAGCAACCCAATGAGATAAGTTGGGCTAAGAGTCTGTGACTTGCCCAGAGTCAGCAGTGGGCTTCATGGCCAAGTAATGACTAAAATGTGGATCTCCCAGGTCTCTAGTCCAGCACTCAAACCCCCACACTAACCAAATGTACTAAGAAAAAATCCATGTGAATTTGGGCTCTGGATCAAGCATCAACATTCCATTTTAAAAGTCTATAAACTATTAATGGTGCAAACCTATGCATGGCTAGATAGAAACAATGACTATCTGAGGAGTACTGAGAGCTGTAGGAATTTTATTTGTCTAAATATGCATATGTATCTTAGGGGATCTAAGGTACTAAGAGCCTACTTATCTATTTGACCTGATCCCCTGCTCTACTGCCAAGTCAGCTGAACATCACAGTTACAAGAAGTACAATTCAACTAAAAAAATTTAACCTTTATATTTGGTTTATTACTTTGATATTGGTATTGCTTATACATTGGTATTGCTAATACATAAAGTAAATAAACCTTTTCCCTTTTGTATCTGTATTCTACAGAACCAGTACAAATTTGTTTGTGAAGCTGTTCTTCATGTTTATAAAGAAGGAATAGTTCGCCCACTGGATTCGAGCTAGCATTACTGTGAAGATATGAAATTCATCATTCTAAAGCCCACATGGTTTGTGGTTATAAATGAGGGTGGAGTTAACCAAGGCTCTCAGGAAGCCAATGCAAGCTTGTACTCTGGCACTTTAAAATTCTATAGAAAATTATTGAACAATGTACTAAATTCAGGAGGCAGGTAGGCTTGCAAAGGCATATGATGTGGAACATATGCACAGAGAAAACCAGGAAAGCTTCATGTACCCTCTGTGTGCACTTTTTATTGCCTTAAAACGTGTTTCATTAGAACTTACTGTAATTCCACTGTCAACTGGAAAAGACCAATTAGCAATAGCAATGGAAAAGCAATCCTGTTATGTGAAGAGCCAAGTGCCTTCATCTCCTAGAGAGCTGAGTACCCTGAAGCTCACACAAAATTGAGTGAAACATCCAATAAAGGGTAGTATTAGCAATGTAATTTAAGTTATGAAACATTTTAAAGGAGTGCCAAAAGCTGGAGTAATGAAGTTGTAGCCTCTGTAAATCTATCTGCATCACCATTAAATCTTCATAAACCAAGCATAGATTGCGTGATATACCGAATAGTGCAATGATACGGCTTTATGTGAGAGAAGATGTAATCTGTATCTCCCTTTGGTTATTTTCATGTGCCCTCTATGTCTGTATAGCTCTTCACTTTCTAGTTTGTTGTTTGGTTTGGTGATGTTTTTAAATTAAGTTTGGATGGAAGACCTGTTTTCCTGTCTGTCTCCAAGTCTGTTAACCTCCAGATACAGATGACAAGTGATTGTTGCACCTAGCTGCTTAAATGTCTTTGCTGTTAGTATAAAAGAATCAATCCAGTGCTGGAGACCTATTTACTGCTGAAATGAGTAAACTGTTGCTGCTAAAATGTAAAGGACATAGGTGTTCATATCTAAAATACAGACTGCATTGTCCTTCACAAGAATGTTTGTTCTTTTAACTGTGGGGCACTTCTTTCATCACTGTCAAAGCATCATGACTTTTGCAAAGCCCACTCCTTTGCATTAGACTTCCCAGCTACATAATGCCTGCATCCTTCTATTACATCATTGGGTCCAGTCTCCTGGAAATGTCACAAATTAATATCAGTTTCATATTGTGGGCAACTATTCTTCACATTTGGAAGGATCTATGAAATAGATACTTTGTCTTACATGCAGATATACAAGGGAAAAAAACAGGTTGTCCTTTCAGTTACAAAAACGCTATGTTGGAGGAAAACAAAAGCTGCGTGGAATTAAGTGGCCCTTATTCAAATTTTCCATGGAAAGCATTTATTTAACTAAAAAGGATAAGACCTAGATTGTTCCTGTTGAAGAACATTGCTTGTTCTTCGTGGTCTCTGTGCATCACACATAATGGGTGCTGTGCCTGCACAGTGCCTGTTGCCGGGTAGAATACAAAAGCTTTAACAGATTTTGGCGGGAATGCCGCACCCCTCCCCTGCAGTGCTATAAAGGGCGGAGCACCTGCCATTTCCCCCAGTCTTCTTTCGACTGCCAATTGTACTGCCTAGAGCCGTTCGTTGTCGTTCATATCTCTCTTTAATCGCCTTTCTCTTCCTCTTCTAGTTAAGATAATCCAAGTTTTATTACCCTTACCTTCCCTAGTTAAACACTCCCTTTTTTCTTACTAAATTTTTTTTTTAAATTACCTCTTACCGTATACTATCCTTCTTCGCTATCTTCCTCCTCGATGGCTCAGTGCGCAGCTTTTTGAAAGTGCTCTAAATGTGAGGCCAAAATGTCCCCAACGGACCCGCATGAGCTTTGCCTCCTATGCCTGGGAGAGGGACACCACACTAACAAATGTGGCCATTGCCAGGCGTTTACCAAGCAAGCCCAGAGAAATCGGGAGAATCAGCTGAGGAAGATCCTTTCGGATCAGGCCCTGATAGCCTCTGATGAGCTTGCCAACCAGGCCGCTCCAGCTGGCCCCTCCATGGTGACCTTCCCTCGTCCACCATCTGAGGGAGCTGCTTCCAGGGAGACCTCTCGCTCCTCCCATTCCTCCTCACTCAAACAAAAGGAGAAAAGGAAGCACACCGGCCAAGGGGATCTGTCAATCTCGAAAAAATCTAAGAAGGACAAGACTGACAAGGCCAGCCTCAAGCACCATAAGCCTGCCCAGGAACCACGCCAAAACTCAGGTTCGATCACTCCATCGGTCCAGATAGCCTCATCAGTCCCGATGCCTTCGACACTGACACCGCAGGCTATGAGGCAAGTTATGCTGCCTGGATCCTCTCAGAGGGTCACATCACCGGCTCCTACAGCGCTGGATCCCCCTGAGCCCATCGTTCATGGATCAATGTCCAACGGGGAAATTCGAGACTCACCTCCACAGTTGATACCGAGCCATCAGCCTGCTCGCTCTCCAACGCCGATGCCATTGTCACCTGAGGCATCCCCAAGGCCTCCCCCACCGGCTGTTGTGAATGACAGCTCACTATGTAAACAACCCACATGTTCGCGAGCAATAAAACTAAAGTCTTTTATTGCTACTTATCTACAAGATTTACAACACTACAGATAAGCTCTACTGTTAAGGTCTTTACAAGGCAGATGCTAACTCCTTAGTGACATCTCTCAGGGAGCCCATGTGGGACTAGCTATCTTGGCCCCACCTTTCCTCCCTGAGGTGGGACAAAGCTTCCTTTTGCTCCAATCTGCATAAAGAACGTCTAAGGGTTGTGCGGGAAAGATCTACTCCGCCTCCTGGGTCTCCTGTGTCATGCTCAGAAGGTTCAGTGTCAGGAGGAAGGGGGCAGTCTGCTCAGGCTCTCTATGAGCAGAACTCACAGTGTCTTTTCCCTCGGAGCTCTCTTGGTCTGACGTAGGCTCAGCTGTTTGCTCAATGGGTAAAGGGTCTAGATGAGGTATGGCTATCTGTTCAGCCATTCCCAAGCTAGGTTATGGAAGGGACATTTGGCTACAGGGTCTCAAGCACAAATTCTCCTCATGAGGTGCTGCTTCTGTCGGGGCGTCAGGCACGACACCGGCCGACTCCCACTGCCACCACTGCACCTCAGGCCAATCCGCCAGGAGCTGGGTACCGATGCCCTTGAACCGCCTCGACTCTATTACTGCAGCTATCTGCCTCCGTATGGCTACTACCCCATGCCACCGGTCCTGTCCTACCAGGGCTGAAGCGCCTTCCACCTCGGCACCTGCAACTTCCCATCTTCCCCCCGTCTCCATTCCAGTCGTCCTCCAGCCCTCCATATCTTTGCGATTCGGACTCTGAGGACTCAGACTGATTCTCTACATCTCCTGACACGGTCATCTCCACTCAGAGACCTGGGTGCCCTGAGGAGTCTTACACAAACTCATGAGGAGTCTCACCCAGTCCCTGGAGATTGAGGTCGAGCATCGGCCGATCACCAACAAAGACAATTTTTACGACATAGTTTGTAAAGAACAATCCTCTGCCATCTCCATCCCGCTCATCACCACCCTTCAAGAAGCTATGGAGGATACTTGGGCATTCCCTAGCCAGCTGCACCCGATGTCCAGGAGGTACGAGTTGATGTATAATGTTTGGAAACAAGACATAACATTCTTCTTGAAACACCCAAAACCTAATTTGATTGTGGTCGAGTTTTCCCATGGGGCGAGACAACAGAGAGCACTCAACCCCTAGAGACAAAGAAGGCAGAAAGATAGACCTAATGGCATGCCACATCTATGCAGCCATGGCACTGGGTCTCTGGATCTCAAATTACGAGGCAACAATGGCCAGATATCCGTACTTCCTGATGCAATGGCTAGAATCCATCACCTCTACTATTAAGGAGCAACAGCGTGACCTGGCCCGTGTTTTTATCCAGGAAGCCATGCAGCTCTCCATCCAGCAGCTCACCACAGCCCGCCATCATGTTGATTGCAACTCCGCATACTCGTTGGATCCATCACCCTCCGCCAGCACACCTGGCTATGTTCCTGCAATTTCCCCAACGAGACCAAGCGCCGGATTGAGGGAATGCCCTTCGATGGCACACGGACCATAAGCTCGAACACATTTACAACGCTCGAGCTACCACTCAGAAGATGGAGATTCCGAATTCTAACTGTTGTAAGTGGTCCCAGTCTCGCTATCCTTGATACCAGCCCTACCATCGCTACCAACTGCACCAGCAATACCAGCCATGCCAGTAGCGCAACCGGGGCCAACCTGCTGCACAAAAGTAGCAGCGTTGACAGGCTGCGTGAGCTGATCTTCTCTCTCCCCTTCCACCCTCCCCCCTCCCTTTTGGGGACTGGCTGCAAAGCTGACTCCCCATTTGGGAGTCCATCACATCTAATAAATGGGTACTTTCCATCATTGAAAATGGATATAAGATCAAGTTCAACACTGTGCCCCCCTTGGGACTGATCCAATACACCTCCCCATCAGAGGTCCTCAGAGATGAAATATCCCAACTACTCCGCAAAGGAGCGATTCAGCGAATCTCCCATTCTGAGGAGCTTCATAGCTTCTATTCCAGATACTTTATGGTCCCAAAAAGGGACGGTGGTCTACGCCCCATACTCAACCTACGGGGCGTCAATACATTTATTACAACTAAAAAATTTCGCATGACCACCCTTCAAAATATCCTCCCCTTACTAGAGAGAGAAGACTGGTTCACATCCTTAGATTTAAGAGATGCTTATTTCCATATCAGCATCCACCCTTCTCACAGGCAGCTTCTCCGCTTCACGGTTGGATCCGATATCTTTGAATATAACGTCCTTCCTTTTGTTCTTGCTACAGCTCCAAGAGTTTTTACAATGTGCATGGCGCTGGTCTGCACCCACCTTTGTCTACAAAGTGTACAAATTTACCCCTACTTAGACGATTGGCTCATTGTCTCCTCCGCTCAAGACCAACTCCTTTCCTCCATCGACACTACATGTACTCTGCCGAATGACCTTGGACTATGTATTAATGCTGAAAAATCCTATCTCACTCCCTTGCAGGTCATCGAATTCATCGGGGCACACCTCAATTCCATTCAGGCAAAGGCGTTCCTCCCATGGGCTCAGATGGAGAACCTTCGCTTCTCCACCAGGCGCATCCAGAAGGACAGACAAACTCCGGCATTGTCCATCCAGAAGCTCCTCGGGCACATGGCCTCGACAATTACAGTCATTCCGAACACCAGACTCCGGATGCGACCGCTTCAGCTGTGGTTCAACATCGTGTTCCGTCCACATCGTGACTCCCCGAGACGGCCGCTTCTACCTCCCGCCTCGGTTCATCAGGCCCTGACTTGGTGAATGAACAAGTACAATCTCACAGTAGGTGTACCATTCCAGCAACAACAGCCCTCAGTATCGCTCCATACTGATGCTTCCCTTATGGGCTGGAGAGCACATTGCGCCAACCTCCTTACCCAAGGCACCTGGCAGGCCCACAAAAAGACCGAGCACATCAATATTCTCGAACTGCTTGCTGTGTTCAAAGCTCTGCGCTCCTTTGAGCCCACTCTTCTGAACCGGTCAATACAGGTAGCCTCCTACAACGTGGTCACTGTCTTTTACATAAACAAACAGGGTGGCACGAAATCAGTACTGCTAGCCCATCTGGCTCTACAGATTTGGAAATGGTGCATCCCCAGAGGGATCACCTTGCTCATGGTTCATCTGGCTGGGGTGGACAACGAGGAGGCAGACACTCTCAGCAGGAAGATGTCCTCAACCCACAAGTGGGAGTTGGATGACCGCATTTGCAGGGACCTTTTCACCCGTTGGGGCACCCCATCCTTAGACTTGTTTGCCACAGCCATCAATTTGAAGTGCCGGACCTACTGTTCCCGGGCAGGAAGGGGCCCGAACTTGCTGGGCAATGCCATGATGGTGAGTTGGTCGAATTCATTTCTCTACACAATCCCTCTGATTTCATTAATTACATGGACCCTAGAGAAGGCTGCCCACGACAGGGCACAGGGCATTCTTATCACACCGTGGTGGCCACACCAGCCTTGGTTCCCGACCATCCTCAACCTCTCCTGCCGAATGTTTTTCCGTCTACCGCGAGTCCCTCACCTGATCACACGGGAGCGGGGGGCGATCCTCCATCCCAATCTCGATTCCCTCAACCTCACCACATGGCTCCTTCACTGACTGCTCCCTGTCACCCACCTTCTCATCCATGACTCATCCATCGGTACCAGAACCATGGTCGGTGCCGACCAAACCTCTTCAAACCATTTCCGTCCCGACTTCTCTACAGCCGGAGATTACCTTCATACTACAATCCGCCCTACGACCATCTACCCACCGGTCATATGAGAATAAGTGGAAATGCTTCACCGCCTTCGCGGAGACCAACCAGTTTCCTCCTCATTCTGCTTCCATCGAAAATATCCTCTCCTTCCTGCTCTCCCTACACCAAGATGGCCTTAAACCCACCTCGATTAGAGTGTATATCACGGCGATTTCCCACTTTCAGGGCCCTTTATCTGAATCCTCAGTGTTTTCTCGCATGCTCATCTGTTGCTTCCTCAAGGGACTACAGAATCTCCAGCCACCAACCTGACCCTTGGTCCTGACCTGGAGACTGTCAGTAGTACTTCAGGACCTCACCAGAGCCCCCTTCGAACCATTGATGACAAATGACCTAAGATTGTTATCATGGAAGACTGCCTTCCTGGTTGCCATTACTTCCGCCAGGAGAGCAAGTGAACTATGTGCTCTCCACGTAGACCCACCCTACCTTAACTTTCATAAGGAAAAGGTTATCCTACGTACTGACCCGGCATTCCTACCTAAGGTCACAACAGCCTTTCATGTCAATCAGGACATCATCCTCCCAGTGTTCTTCCCCACTCCCTCGACCCCGATATAGAAATCCCTCCACTCTCTCGATGTATGCCAATGCCTAGCCTTTTATTGGTCCCATACTGAGAGCTTCAGAAAGACCAAGCGCCCCTTTGTTAAATACTCTGAATCTTACAGAGACGCTGCCATCTCCTCCTAAAGGCTTTCAAAGTGGATCGTTCAAACTATCGAACTGGCGTACCAGTTAGCCAAGCTGGACCTCCTGGTCGCCCCCAAGGGACATTCCACCAGAGCTGTGGCTTTTTCAAGGCATTTGCAAGGCAGTGACATGGATACTCCTTGCACTTTCACCAAACATTATAGACTTGACGTTCGGGCCAGGCAGGACTGTTCCTTCGGCCGTGCCGTCCTCTCCTCGATTCTCCTCTGACGACACCAACCCACCTCTGGTTGGTAAGCTTGCTAATCACCCATTATATGTGATGCACAGAGACCATGAAGAAGAAAGGCAGGTTGCTTACCTGTAACTGTCGTTCTTCGAGTGGTCATCTGTGCATTCACACAACCTGCCCGCCGGCCCCACTCAGTGTCGGAGGATGGGACAGGAGACTCTCCCTAGCGATTCCTCGAGTCAACCATGCTCTCCGCTAGGGGGCGATCTGACAGTCTCCATAGACTGGGGGAAATGGCAGGCGCTCCGCCCTTTATAGCACCATGGGGGAGGGGTGCGGAGTTCCCACCAAAATCCATTAAAGCTTTTGTATTCTACCCAGCAACAGGCACTGCGCAGGTGCAGCACCCATTATGTGTGAATGCACAGATGACCACTCGAAGAACGACAGTGACAGGTAAGCAACCTGCCTAAACATATACAGTTTTGTAATCTTGGGCCTGTTTACTCAAAAGCAAGAACTATAATCTGTAACAGGACTTACTTGCTAATGAATGTTTTTTAGGATCACAGCCTTAATTCTTCCATTAACAATTGCCCATACCTGCAGTTTTGGGGGTTTCTATGTGTGGATGCAAATACCTGAATGATAGAAATATGACGTCAGCTGTGAGTGGCTGTACAATTGCAGTACAAAGGTAATACATAAATTGACCTTTTTATGTGGTGTGAATGAAATGTAGAAACAAATCTGAATGAGCATAAAAAATGAGTAATTTTTTGGTAATTTGCTTTAAGGTACCCCAGTCTCCATTTCATTTCAAAGGAGAGAATTGGAATAAATAGCCATTGCGTGGTGTTTCATATTTTGTCCTTGTAAATAATTGTCTGTTGCTAAATTTAAAGCAAATGTTACATAAGGATACATAGAATCGCATTATACAAAGTGTGATCCAGAGGAAAACTCTAGAAATGGGAAAAATATTGAGCTGGACCCAGATTTAATTATACTTAGACCAATTTAAACGAGATGCACATCTAAAGACGCCTTGATTTCAGTGGATCTTCTCAAAGTATGACAGTGGGAGGTTTCATCCTTAAAGTGGCTCTTCCTCTGCTGGTTTCATTGTACTCACAGAACTCACCTGTTTGCTCAACAGAGCTTTGATGCTTTTAAAAATAACCAAGCAAATGAGCAAAAATACCATATATACCAGCATATAAAGCAACTCGCATATAAAACAAGGGCAATATTTTGAGCTGTTTTTCTGGTGTTTTTGATATGTTGAGAGTATAAGACATGGGTCCTCAAACTACGGCCCATGGGACGGATCCAGCCCACCTTGCCCATTCATCTGGCCTGTGCTGCCACCCCCCTGCCCGTGCGTGGGTGGGAGGTGGTGGCTTGCTCGCTTGGAGATGGTTTTGGACTTGTTGGGAGATCTCCCAGCAAGTTCAAAACCATCTCTGAGCAATCGAGCCGCCGCAGCCTGCCTCCCCCGCACACACACACTCACCACTGCCTTGCAGCACAGGCTGGAGGAGGTGGCTTGCTAGCTCAGAGATGGTTTTGGACTTGCTGGGAGATCTCCGAGTGAGCCGCAGCCATGCACACCCAATGCCACCTCACGTGCACCCAAGGATGCCTCACTGGCCTGTGCAGCCAGCCCCACCTTCTCACTGGCTCACATGTGTAGCCACCACCTTTCAATTGGCCCCCTGTTGAAAAAGTTTGAGGACCCCTGGTATAAGACAACCTCCCATTTTTCTTTCACTATTTTCAGTTTCATAGGTTGTCTTACACATACACACAGGTATTTGTCAGCCAGAAGCTTCTAGATTCCCATGATTCAAATGATTTTAGCTACTAGTCATGTTACCTCTCCAATTTCATGCAAGCTTACATTTGTCTGCTATACACCTTGGCTTATAACTAACTATGAACTGGGATCTGTACGAAGTTAACCTACAAAATGAAGCTGAAAGGTCACCTACCTCAATTCAAAAGACTAAACAAATCATCCAGTACAGGTTGGTCATTTTGGTACCAGTATATACTAGTAAGAAGTTTTTATTGATTATTAATAAAAATGATCTTGTAATTACAATTGTCTTTATTTATCCTGATCATTTTAAAATGATAAATATAATAGAATTTTTCATCTGGCATACACGATGATCCTTGATTTTTGCTTTGTTATTTTTGGTTTCAAGGATCGTCTTATACACTGCTATATGTGGTACTTATTTTTAGTAGGAATGGGTCAGCAGAGCTCCCTACTAATGTGTCCCATTCAAGAAACTAATGGCTTGGGTCATTTTGGGCTATTTTTAGTAGCACCAAAGCCCTGGGACATGAGCAATAGGTTGTACGGGGACTTCCGGTCGGCGTCGTGGCGGGATGGCTGTGAAGAGCAAGGGGTCCCATTTGTATGATAGTGAGCTGTGAGGCTCATCCAAGCCCTGTCGGGGCAGGGATTAGTTTGCCCAAGCATTCTTCTAGTTAGTACGGGGTGGCAGCTCCGCATTTATTGGGAGAAATTCAGGTTTATCTCAAACAACACAGAGGAGAGAGCAGCTCCCTACAAGCCAGAGACGACCGGATATAATAGCATTACAATAATATCTAGAAGTTCATCGGACCTGCTGGATGAGCATTTCTATTTTTTTTTCTTCTCAATACTACCCATGAAAGATCTGCTGCAGTTGCTAATTGGCATAAAGAAGAAAAGATAAGCCCTTTGATGGAGGGAGGAATTCTTCCTCCCCCCACAGAGTTTCAAGCGGCGACTGATCTGGGGGAGATGAACTAAGACTCTTTTGGAAAGTTTGAGGCTAGAGAGAAAGACCTTTTTTTTCCTAACCTCCCCAAGGGTGAAGAATTAGAATAAATAATTACTGTGGAATGAGTGATAGAAGATAAAACTTCCTTTGAACGGCCATTTTGATCCTTCCTCACAATAACTTTCATGCCAACAACTTGAGACGTCATTCTGAAGACAAAAATAGCCCTTCGCTGCCACCTTGTGGTTACTGGATTTATAGCAAGTTTCTACTTTTTTCTCTCTTCTCTATTTCTCTGTTGTTGTCTTGTAATTTTTGGCAAAAAAACCTATTATCATCATGAAAAACATATATTCTTCCTCCTCTTTGGCTCCTGCATCAGCTGCTCAGAGTCCTACTCATCAGCCTAAAGCAGCAGATGTTGAAAAATATCAAAAAGAGCTACAAATGACGCTTTTGGCAATACAAACTTCCTTAACAGCTGTGCAAGTATCCCAAGAGGCGATGTCAACACAACAGGAAAGCATTTTAATTGAACAAAGATAACATCTTGACAAATTGGATAATTCTATTAAGGAGGCATCAACCCAACTGGTGGACGTTCGACCTAAAACTGAACAGAATGCGCAAAAAATACAACAAGCACATGAGAAACTTGAAACTGTAGATAAAGAGACACAATTAATAAAGCAAACAAACAAGCCACTATGGAATTCGCTTGTTATACTAGAGATGAAGAAGGTACCAAACTATTTGAGAGAGATTATGCTTAGGTGGCGAATGACAGAAGGAATATTTTTCACTTGGAACTTTACAAGATATAAATTGGACTTGACTTTTAAGGCACAAGAGTTTTATGAAAAATTTGGAAGTAGGCTTCAAGAGGAAGAACCGGGTGCCTCAAAAGAAGGAGGGATAGATGTTGAACTGATGGAACTAACGACATATCATTCTGACTTAGAACAAGAAGTACAGACACCGGAAGTGGACACTGATTTACAACAAGAAGTACAAATACTGAAAACAGAGGAAGAGAGAAGAGGTAGAGGTATAAAGAAGAAATAAGAGAATTTTGTATTTTAAAGAGAATGATTTGCAAATGGATTGGCACGTTTATTTATGGTATGAGAAGGCTAAGTCACATGGTTCTTTTTTAAGTCATTATATTAGAAAATCATTAATGTCGGTGGGGGAAAAATTAAAGATAAAATTGTATAAACTTGATAGGAAAATGGAAGACGAGTAGATTAAGGAAACTATGATAATGTGGGCACAAAATTTTGGATATACTATTGAATCAGAAAAGTGGTAAATGCTGAAGGAGAGAAATATCAAGGTAATATTAGCAATTTTGTATGAAGAAAACTTGTACAAAATGTTGTATAGATGGTACCTGTCACCAAATAGATTAGTTAAGATGTTTCCAAATATATTAAATGGATGTTGGAAGTATAAATATAAATTGGGTTGTTGTTGTTGTTAGTCGCGAAGTCTTGTCTGACCCATCATGACCCCATGGACCACATTCCTCCAGGCCTTCCTGTCCTCCACCATCCCCCAGAGTCCACTTCAGCTCATACCAACTGCTTCAGTGACTCCATCTAGCCACCTCATCCTCTGCTGTCCCCTTCTTCTTTTGCCATCTGTTGTTCCCAGCATTAGGCTCTTCTTCAGGGAGTCCTTCTCATTAGGTGGCCAAAGTAGTTGAGTTTCATCTTCAGTATCTGGCCTTCTAAAGAGCAGTCAGGGTTGATCTCTAAGATCTCTAAGGGTTGATCTCTCCAGCACCACAATTCAAAGGCCTCAATTCTTAGGCGCTCAGCCTTCCTTATGGTCCAGCTTTCAAAGCCATACATTGCAACTGGGAAAACCATAGCCTTGACTATACGCACTTTTGTCAG